TACGCGACGTTTATTTTTAAGTTTTGTTTTGTCGTACTGCCATTTGGTGGTGGCAACTGTGACCATCAACGTCATTACAATCCAGAACCTAATTTTCACCACTGCTCTGTATCGGGAGGCTTCTGCAACGCAACGGTACACGTTTGGCCCCAATTCATTCGTGAAAGTGTTGCGCTCGAAGCTAACAAGGCCTCAGGGCTGCTGCCTTGGTGACTCTGACGCAGCCGTCATAAACCCCAATCGAGCCAGAAATCCTGCACCGTACGGCCCCGTCGTAGCGTGCCGAATTTGACGTCGTAGTATCGCTTGAGAATGGACCGTGGGCAGGACGCATCTCTCGAAGGTGGTGATGGCCGACGGGGGACAAGACCGGTGACAGAACGGCAGCCAAAGGAGGAAGACACATACGCCGGAGGATGGCCCACTGTGGAATTGGGAGCGACGCAATCAGCTGACGTCCACGACCGAGATGGATCGTGGCATCGCAAACAACAGGCCACGAGAGATTGGTGACAACGTGGGAGGAGGGGCGGGTGGAGGAGGCCTTTATCCAGCAGTGGATAGATCATGGATGCCCGCCGATGACGATGGCGATGGTATCCCCGTGGATGCGTGGGTGGCCAATGCGTATGTGGGTCACGTTCTACTTTGCGAATACAAAAGTAGATGAGGCGATGGGATCGTCTCCTAAAAAGCATTATTTATCACAGCCGCCAATAGACAATTTGATCTGCCTTGCGAGATTTTCAATTAAAGGACTCAATCGTAAGCTGAAATTTAATTAAGACCACGGCGAAAGAGAAAGAAAATGGCCTCGCACGAAAATAATCTGATGAGAATAACAGCCGTCTTGAACAAAGGCAGTACAATGCGTATAAATACATTACGGTATAATGTGAATAGCAGTCAACAATACTTAATCATCGCGGGCTAACTGAAGCAAAATGATGGTGCATAACTTTGTGACAGCGGCCAATGCATATGAAGGTATTATCTGCACGATAGGCTGGTTCAGTGGTCAGAGTATTTCAACTCACGCTCGGAAGGGCGTACGTTCAAATCGCGGTTGGGGATCGAACTCAGCCCATCATCTCTCTGGGGGAAACACCATCGAGTACCACCACTTTTGGTTATGGCAATCGTAGCGATCAAATGGACACACCGGAGCCCGTCATGGGAATGTGGAATTTCCATCGCTGTCCACAGACGAGCTTGTTTGAGTCGGGAAGGCTGACTTAAAATTTTTTTTAAATATGTTGTCACACACCGCTTAATACATTGCTAAAATACAACGCATTTAAAACACCAAGGCGTTGCGCTCGTTACGACGTCAAAACCTTGTTTTGACCGGTCGTCACATATATACGGTGATACCCTGTGCACATCACAGGCATTCTACAAACAACGAAAACGATTGCAAACGTGAAGCACTTACTTAATTTGCAAGCAAAACAGCCACCTCGCAGCGGATGTCATCGGTAAACAACGCTGCTTGCCGAACTAAACTAAGGCATGAATTGCACAATTAATTATATATATCTTTTTGCCGCAATGTTTCTGCGCGTGTGCTCGATGGCCATCGTGATAGCTGTCGCTCACCGTGTACACGCTATCCATGGCAACCGGGAGTAATATTTGAAAATGTGCCCCGTTTTTTCTTTACATCACAAATAATCGCGTACTTTTGTGTGTGCTGAGTGGGGTGCGCGTGTGTGTTTTTTTACGATCAACCCTCGCCCCCCCCCCTTTTAAGATCTCGATTAAATGGGAGCTTGTTAAAATCACGCAGCATAATCGTGACATGCAACATGCACGCGGGCCTTCGCGGGAAGATACAATGGACCGCCTTGTGAGTTTTGGTGATAAAGCTAGAAACGAACGGCTATAAGCCGCATTCGAACTGCTGAAGCTTGTATACACATCATTGGCTATGTGTTTACAGACGCAATGGTTGTGTTGTTGTTGTTGCATTTTGATCTGTACAAGAAACATAAAGCAATGGCACGGTATTAATAATAATATGTATTAATAATAATATGTATAATCAACTGGTCATAACACAGAGGTCACACATTTTGTCTGTTTGTTCTGAAGAACTATGTTTTATAAGAATAGACTTGTTTTACTGTGAACACGTAAAAAAACTAATTAATTCACGAAGCCAGGCAGTCTTCAGTGGTTTAGAGCGCTCAAACCACGCAGCAAGAACGTTCTGAGTTCAAATCCAGGTACGGGGTGACCGACACGGCCCATCATCGCTCTGGTGTCAAATAAATCGAGTACCGCAATGTGGCAAGCCAACAATGGCCATCCTACTGAAAAGACGACTCACCCACCCCCATCGTCAGAGTAACGTGGAATTTCCATACACAGACAATTGGGCAACCAAACGGAGATCAGTAGCACCTCCCCACCCCCCCCCCCCCCCCATACGCGAGTTTGAGCAGGGAATCACCGTCACATTGAGCAACACGTGAAAATAACAACGAGAACGTCACGCGAAATCAAGTCATCGCAGCAGCAGCAGCAGTAGCGGCTTGTTGGCTGACCGTCGAGCAAAGACGGCGGTCACCGCATCGCCCGCTTGCAGATGCGCTCCTGTGGGCGTCTGGAACGAACTTCCTTACGATTTTAGGAAGCCGTTGGGAGCTATATGCACGTTTAAGTCGAGATTGAACACTCATTTCTTTAGAACTGGTTTGTGTGTTTAGGTTGTTGTCCTTCCCCTGCACCTCCAATTAGCACGATTGGCTACATGTGGTGCGAAAGAAAGTTCAACATACATACAACATACATGGCTGTGGGTGGGAGTGCCAGGAGCACGACTGGCAGGGCACGGGTGTAGACCGAGGTCACGTTTCGACATCTGGGCCACGGAGTTTTTCGCGATGTAAAGTGGTCGAGAACGGCAGAGGAGCAGAGACTGGATGATCAAAGGATGCGAAGACGCTTTGTACATTGAGCAACACGGGAGCACACTGGAGCGAATGATGATGATGATGCTACTTGACTATGCAGACGACATGTTTTGCTCGCGTGGCAACGTATCCACAAGGTGAGCCTGTTTATGAACGCAATGCAAACGCGTAGACTTTAACTCGAGTTCTGGACATGAACAGAATTTAAGTTGCAGCCCCAGTAGTCATCACTGACAACTGTCACTACTGGAACCACTCAGTGTCGCCTCTTGGTATCTGCAATTCTGCCTTCTCTTGCCATAATTTAAAACGACTCTATTAAAATCACTCAAGTAGGAGCGTGAATGTAATACTACAACGTAATTCGCTGTTATTAAGTTCGTCTGTTTCTTGTTGATTTTTGTTGATCTGTAATTGCGGAATAATTTGACGTTTTCTGCCGGCGAAGTCGCCCTCGAAAACGAGCGTCGCAGCTTTACGTGATTCAGTCGGGGAAATAAAAACTTCTGATTCTGTGAGCCAGGGTGTGGGAGCGTTGCCCTGTGAACCTGCTGAGTTCACTTCACCTCGGGCTAAACAAAACAAAATCCGCTCCATTGTATTTGACCAGGTAAGGCCCACTAAGCTAGAAGCTGTTTTTTTTTTCCCCAGAAGCGACCTGGCCATAAATGATAGGTCAACGGCATGGCTTATCATCATATGGAAATGTATAGCAACAGCCGAATACCCTCAACGCACGTTTCTGTATGTGGAGGGAAAAACAGGAAGACCACACAAAAAAATCCACGCGACCACGGAGAGAGAGAGAGACACCGCAAACTCCAAATTTCCAGCAGGCGTCATGGTCAGGATCCAACCCACGACCTCCTGTATACCAGGCGAGGTAGTTAACATCTCCTAGCCACCGCGGTTGGTCGTGAACCGAGGCCCCGGTGTTGCCACGATTCGCGTGGAATTGCCCCTAAATGACACCCGCCGTCGTCAACTGAGCAAGCCAAGGACTGTGTAGCTCCACGTGGAGACGCTTCGGTTTGTGTTGACGTGGTCTTTCTAGAGTCCAGGCAAATTTTTAAAATTATCAACTGAAAAATTTGCCCGTTATATTTGGTCAAACATTTCATTAACTCACCCCTAATGTGATGGGCTGCAACTGCTTCTCTTTGGCGAGGCGTGTGATGTTAGCTGGTATTGATGATGTTGCTACTCGCAACTGCTTTTCTAGGTTTGCTCCTAGATTTATTGAATTTCGAGTGCCGCCTGCGGTTGCCTTGGCAGGGCCACACCAAATGATTTCGCGTTCCCCACCCTTGTTCTAGACCAGGGGTCGGCAACCAAAATAACAAGAAGAGCCATTTCTTTCCAATTCGGTACAAAATTCAGTATTTCAAGAGCCGCAATGCATCTGAGTACATGTACTCATGTATACGTACATATCGTCAAGAAGCAGCCCGTAAAGAGCCGCATGCGGCTCCGGAGCCGTAGGTTGCCGACCCCTGTTCTAGACCAACGAAATATGTCAGAACTGCAGTCAGTTGGCTAGACCGGCGTTCCCATGCGGGATCATACAATTAATTATTAAAGGCGGCAGTCAGAGCTAGATTGGGAGAGAAAAAAAAACACTACACGCTTACACTTTTGAAGATTGCATCGCGTGAAATGTATAACTTCTAAAACCTTGACACTGTCGCCACGGTGTTGGGGACATGCGTCGCAGCTGTTGAAGATCACTCGAGGCGGGGATTTTTTTTATAATAAAAAAAACAACAACAAACAAAAGCACGCGAGGAATATGTTGCCAACGCTTCGGCCGCGCAGTTCAAACGCCTTCTGATGTTGTAATTCTTTGAATGGGACGATACCTCAATTAATGCCACTCCCCCCCACCCCACCCCCGCCTCTACGTTTCAAAAATGCGCTTGGCGGAGCCCCGTTTGGAATCGCTGCTAACGCGTTCACGATTGTCGGCGTTGCTTTCACACACCCAGTTTAATTAAGGACACCAATCAATCAGGGACGAGCTCAGGAATGGATTTGTTCGCCAATCAAGCCGGATCGAATTTGCCCCCCCCACCACCACCGACCCACCCCACCCCCCAACGTGTTGATCCACGTTGTAAATCTGTGTTCTTTCCATGTTTCACGCTCTTCCTCCTCGTCCTCCTGCGGTGTGCTACCATGATCGAATTCCTCTGTCCTCGATGTCTCAGCTCCAGCGCACCGGACCGCTTCAGCCGACCTGCTGACCCCAGAGTCACTCTTGCTGACTCTTGCCGCAGGGGCGTCGTGTTTACTCAACGCACGAGTCCCTAAACTGGCGAAATCAAATCTACGGCATCCTTCTAACGGGAGTGGTTGGGTTTTGTTGTTGTTGTTGTTCCGTGGGTGGGGCGACGTTGCGCTAATAAGCGGTGGATCTCGGTTGGCACCGCAGCGAAGGTGTCCAAAAGAAGACAAAACCGCTACAACACCTGTCCCCGCTGAGAGTTACACCTGGACTCTGCACTAACGTGAACCACGCAGGCGACAGGCTCACCCGGGACTGTGCGAGGTGGCCGTCTGTTTGATTGTTGCGGGCACTCAACATCGGCACTAAAGAGCTTCACCACTCTCCAGTCTCCGTCCTTTATGTCCCAACAGTTCCTGGTGAGCAGCGCCCCACTTCACTCAAGCCCTGGCTTAATTGGAAACGTAATTTACGTGTCCGGACAAATTAGATCTTTCTGCGCACTTTAACAATTTTTTTTCTCACACGACGCCAGTAATGAGAGGTTTCGTTACAGAGATAAAGGTGACATTGTGTTAACGCCGGTGGATTTCAGCAGCACATTACACGATAGCTTTTTTTCGCCCCCTTTGTGATGTCCTTAAACTCGCATTCTTCGCGCAGGGATCTTAACATCGGCAACACGGAGTTATCCAGGCTCGCCGCCAGTTAAGGAGGCCCGGACATCGATTTCCCGCGCATGGTTGTACAAATCCTTCGGAGAAAATTGACCCTCCGTCGTTATAAAGCATGCTGATGAGCTCGAGGCTTAATTACGCTTATTGTGGCTTAACCCAACCAAATTAGGCTGTGCACACACCGTGCAGAAATGTCATTGTGACATCACCGCAGCGCAAGCGCTATTGCCAGTTTGCCGGGATCGATGCAAATTGGGGCGCTGTGCCGATACCTCACCCCGGCCGCGATTAATCAACGTCACTTCCAATGTCACCATCCATCTGTTTGATCGGCGAGGAGGCCCGGGATGGCTCAAGAGAGGGGGGCTGGTCCTAATGCACCGAGCCGGCACCGCCGAGATTCCAGGAATTTATGAACCTCGGGGGCTCTCGTCCAACGTCAATATTTGGATTTTTCGAACGCGGAGCTCGCGATGGCCTAGGCCTAATAATCGTCGACGGCATTCAAAGGAGCGTGATCGGCGCTGCGATGCGCCCCCGTCGCTTGACTTGCCTCGACCGTTCGGCGTTCGTTGGCGCGCGCAGAACGTTGTTCCTCCGGCGCATGACGCAGCGATGCCTCGTGGCCGCGCATCGACGCAGGCCACGAAAAACGAAGCGGCGTGTTTGTTTTGTTTTTCAATTAACCGTAAGGGTGTGTACGCTGGGCCAGATTTATAATGTAGCAAAGAGTTCAAACTTTTTTTTTCTTTCTATTAATCCTCGTGAACACATCATTGCAACTGAAGCTTACACAAACAAACAAAATGCATCCTCCATAATGCAGTTCAGTTTTTTTGTTTTGGGTTAGATCCGCCACCACATGAAGCAGCGGATTAGTGAGGTTTTGTCACGTAAACAAAATATACCAATTCGTTACTCGTTCAGCACACTGGTGTGTTGGAGAGTAAACCCACAACGTTTACAACAACAACAACAACAAAAACCTCTTACGAATAATATTGTTCGCGAAAGCCTACGTATTAAAATGCATCATATTATTTCACCACCTCCAACCCGCTCTGCCTAGATTTCCTGCCCGAAAGAGTGTGGCTTAACAGGGTCATATACTAGGCCCTGGGGGGGGGGGGGTGGGGGGGGTATGGCAAGGGGAAAGAAAGGCATTGCCCGGGCTTTAGGACCGAACTTTGTAGACACCACAAATTCAGTTTCATGGCTGCACAGGCTTAGACCACCACGGGGAGAGGAGTGCAGCGTCACTTTTACGACAGTGGGAGGTGGGAGGGGGGAGGATATGGCGAGAGAGAGGTTTACAATGAAATAAAATCCCAATCGCGTCGGGTGCTGGTGGTCCTGATTGATAGCCAAAGGGGTTTGCCCGTCGCTGCCTTGCTTCAATCCCACAATTGGACACGTATGGACACAGAAGCCAAGACCCTCCTGTCGAGCTTGTGTACACACCATGCTCGCAAAGAATTCTCGGTCCAAGCGCGTTGAAGGAATTGATAATAAATACTCCCTCCTGCACCGTCTACTTTACTTTATGCTCGCCGTTGGCTCCTCTCCGTTAAAGATTGCGCGTAGCAAGCCTCCAACGCGGGTTCGCGCGCGCGTGATGTGTGGACATCGAACGGAGAATTTGTCCTGTTTCGTTATTGTCTCTTGCAGTATCCGAACGTGGCATTTGAAACTGATCCCCAAACACAAATCGTAGATGATAATAATATCCATCATCCATGTGTTGTGGCTTTTATTTTTGGTTCAAATCGCGGGGGGTAAGGGGGTAAGGGGGAAGGCGCAAGCAATTTGAACAGTCGTGCTAGGATTTACACCGTGACTTGGAGTAATAGATGGGCGAAGTGAAAATAAGAAAAGCAATTATGAGAAATTTTAAAAAAAGCATATAAACTCACAAAAACACCAGCGGTGACATCGAGTGGCTGTGTTGAGCCAGACTAAGCTCTACCACCCCCTCCCCCCGCACGCACACTGTGGCCACAGGCGACCAAAATGCACAGAGCTCACAAAATGTAGCGTTGTGATTTTTTTTTACACTACTACACAGGCCACCGACTTGAGGAACGCCACACGGAATTGTGTCTTTGAGTCGACGGCTCGCGAGGCGCAGACCTCGAATCGTTTCCGCTATTCACCTGCTTCAATCGCACCCCGTGACGCTGTGCGCGCGATGAAAAAGTGGTAGATTCGGAGTCCCAACCACTTTGCACGTGAGCGAGTCACACCGAACGGGGGGGGGGGGGGACCCTAAAGGCAGCAATCTTCCTCCCATTTTTTTTTTAAATGAACATGTCACTTGCAGAACGTCTCTGTGTGTGGGTACGCTATTTATCTTGCAATGTCAGTGTGGCAGGATAAGTACGGTAAATGGGCCAAAAAAAGTGTCTACTCATGCGTAACAACGGCAGAGCGGGTTTATGGTGTCAACAGTTTCCACTTAAAATGTTTTAGTTGTTTTAATCCACTGCGAGAGTCTGTTATATATTTGAGCGCGTGTATCACATAACGTGCACACTGGCAGAGGACGTGGCATTTGCTTGTATCGCTAAACAAACAAAAAACCACCCGTGGATTCCTGGCGCCATCAAAGCGTGGCACATTGCTGCCATCACACATTTAAAAAAACTGTCACATGATCAGTTACAGTTGGCCAATGAGGCTTCGGCAGATTGAGAGTTAACCAATCGAGGCGTCAGTGCAAGAAGACAGCCGACCAATCAGATTCCAGCACACAAGAGCCACCCAGGCACTATGCGTCCAAAGGGATTTTTGGAACTTCTTGCCAGTAAATGAACAAATTAAATGAACTTTAATTATTTCACTATATGCGATCTGATACTTGCCACATGATAAAAAAAATAATAGTGTTAACCCTTTTACAGTAATCTGTCTTGTGATGGGATTTTGTTAACAGATAGCAATGTGATTAATAATAATAATGGTGCTTTGTTCTCTTGGGAATAACAACAAAATAAAATACCGTTACAAATAACCACATTGTCACTTTCCGCTCTCTTTTAAAAATCAAAAGATTTTGGTCTCTTCAATAAAATCTAAATATGTTTGACTGCTTTATACAAAGCTCAAAGCTAAAATTTCAGCAACAATAAGTGAAAACTGAAAGATTCCACATTTTAGTTCAAGAACACATGATCCTTCAGTGGCGTATAGCTTTTTCTTTTTTCGTTTTTCAATACATATTTACAAATGGCTCCGTTTTAGCGTTGTCTTGGTCTTCTTGTAGGCCATGATTTTTTTTCAGCAAGTCTTGAAACTTTTTTTTAAAATTAGATGCGTCAGTTTTTTTTCCTTCCCTCCCCCCCCCCCTATCTTCTTAACTCCTTTCTTCTTTTGCCAACATCCTTCAAATTTCAAAGTCCGGCTTTTTCGCTGCTCAGTTTACGCAGGTAATAATATCAGAAGAGCATAGGCTGCGACGGCGATGACGAAGCCTACGCTAGGCCTGTGCATGTGACCATATCCACCAGCGTGGTGAGCAGCCTGTGAAGCTCCAATTCCCGAATCATCTGTTGGGAAATAAACAAAAACATTAACGAAATTCATACAAACGTGCCAAGCAATTGCATGACCGGATCACACACACTTCAGGAAACGTTAGAAATGCACAACTGAAACTTGTTTCAATTGTGGCATGACCCACTGCCCTCTTAAACTCAAGTCTAGTTTTAACCAATGCTATACAAAAAACGACACCTCTTATGTTAAAAAGTAAACCAACTCTTCCCATACGTTCAGGAGAAGAAGACAAATGCTATCCCCAAAATCTTCACGTGGTGCAAGAGGGGGAGAGGGGCGGTGTGTACTTATTCTTCCATTTCTCTCAAACACTACCAGCAAAAAAACCAAGATCGTAAAATAGCGAATGTCTGCATAGCAACGGACGTACCGAGTGGAGTGCCTGCGCACGTTGAATAACTTTAGATTTTACGGTTCAATATTTTTGCGGAGTTAAACGTCCTCTCCGTGGTGTGCATTCAAACGGTGGGGAGGGGAAAAAACCACGCTTGCCAGCTGGGTGCTTAGCCCGCGCCGTGTTGTTTTAATTGGAACCAGCCAACGGGCAGATCGCCGCGGGCCATCGTTTCCGAAAGGGCGGCACCACGAAACCTGTCAATGTTATTTAAGTTCGCCGATAATAAGAGTGAAATGAACGCGAATGAAAGATTCCCTTACTCGAAGCTGAAAGTGATGAATTAGAAAACTTAAAAAAAACTAACTAAAAAGTTGAACTGGCTTTGTTGCAAAACATAATTTGTTTCAGATGACGACTCAAATCATTAGTCTCAAGCGCTGTCCGGTTTTTGTATTATTACTGCGACGAGAGCAAATCGGAGAATTAGCGGAAAATCCGCGTATACCAGGGGGTTAAGGCTCAAAGCTCCGCACAGATGGATTTAATCCACCACACAGTCAGGTTTGTTTTGGAGTTACGCCAATCTGTGCGATCTGCCAATCCGTGCCTGCAAAGTTCTGGAGCACAGGCGTGTGACAACCAGCTCTGAAGTCAGCGGTGGGAATTTCACATTTTCATGATGGGAACCAGTCTCTCGAAAGGACAACCACTATTTACTTTGAACAAATTGGTACTAATTGTATTCAGCACGCAGAGATAACACTGGTCCACACACTTTTTCTGGCATAAGGTATTCCAACGGTAATTTTGGGGTGCTGATTCCAAATCTGCCATCAGTTTTTGTCTATCACATCAGGTTTTTGAGATATCAAATATTGCATTTTCAATAAAAACTGCAGAAGAAAAATATTAAATAACTGTGGATATCTACATAAAATTATATTATAAACACACAATCCTAAAAATACAGCACCATATTTTAACACTGAAGCAGTCACTGACTCGCAACAACTTGCAATCATAAGTGACAGAGTTAATTTCGGGTAAAATCAATGAAAATGGGGTATGCCGATAGCATAAAAATGAGATGTGATAGAGCAAATCTGAGATCAGATTTGGAATCAGCACCCTGAAATTCGTCTAAAACAGCTGCAAAAGTCCAGGCCAGAAAAAAATGTTTTTTGTTGTTGTTGACCAGTGTAATGTAAGATGGTGTAACATCCAAATACTGCCATTTTAGACAATGCTAAACTTCTAAATCTGTTGTAGGTTATGATTTTGATATCAAAAGCTTTCCAAAGAGCTCATTGCAACCGTTATTAAGAAAACACATATCGACCCGTAACATCAAATAAGATTATACGGCCTATCGCGCTTTACAATTTAATTTCCTATTTTCTCTTTACTCAGCGCAAAACTGTCTACTCATTTCCCCGCCACCACTCAAATACAGAAAAATAACAATTGCACTCTTGCGTTGAATATTGACGAAGGCTTCGTTGATGAAATATTGACTTTAGTGTGTTTTGCATCGCATGACATTCATTTAATGTGCTTTTTCCAGCTCGTCTCCTGAACCAATAGGTTCATTTAAATTGTGTTAAAAATGATTAGGTTAATTTTATTCTTTGCCATCCGTCATGTTATCTTACACAAATACTGTGCATGTAAAGTAATGCAGCGTGCAAAACATGCAACAATTTATCACACGTTTTGTGGAGTACAAAGATAAAGACTACAGAGTCAAATGTTGGCTTTGAATAAAGAATGTGCCCATTCAAGAACTTCATTAAAATAACAAGGCTTTTTGAATTTCATGCCAAATATTTACCCGGGAAAGTTTAACCGCACCTCAAGGCTACTTTTTCACAGGGATGCTTTTTTTGGCCAATTCCATAAATGAGTCTTTGGCTTCAGGTGTAAGAAAAGCAGAAAAAATCGGAGAAAAGGTGTGATACTCAGACTCGTAAACGGTAATCCCATGAGCAATGAAGCTATTTTTGACAGATGCCCAGTAGGGGACACGGAGTCAAAAAATCACTGCCACCCTGCCTGTAACACCTGACTCAAACTCGTGGCCATCCATCCAAGCATCGACCAGGCAAAAAAAAACCCTGCTTAGCTTCCCTGCGCTCACGTGATCACGTGCGTAAAAGTAGATGTGTTGGGGGGCGTGGATGGCCACAGAACAGACAACGACGACACTGAATGCGTTCCAAACGACCTGCAGGCAGTCCCCCCCCACCCCGCCCCCACTTTCACGATGCAAAGCGATCCTGGAAAACTCCGTCGTTGTAAATCGAGCCCAATTTTTCCCGTGGACAGTAGAAACGGTAGAAATTTCACTTGCCGATGTGTGTTTTTTTTACCCCACAAAAAAACACTCTAGAATAACAAAAATCTCCACGCCAAGTCACATCGGAGGAAACCAGGCCGACTCCGTTCAAGGGTTCGGAGTCGTGTACGAAGATGCGTCGTGAATCGACCCACGGTGGCACTGTGTCAACGAACGTGAATGGGGTTCGTCGCAAACCGGAGGCTGCCTTGTACTGCGAGAGCTGAAGCTCTGCATCTCTTCTCTCGTGCCTCCCAGCACCCACAATATTGACCCAAAGTTATTTGAAAATGCGTATTTGACATTGCCATTGGTAATGCTCCCAATTTAATGTTGGCCTGGGCTCTGTGCACCAGAATGCGATTCATTCATATTTAATGACGTGTGTATATATATATGAAAAGGCAAAGGAAGTGTTTGAAAAATTAATTCTCGTCCTGGTTAATATTTAAGTTAGATTTCCTGAAAACAAATCAGCATTCCCTTACAAACAAGCCGCGTGCTTGTTAGCGATACAAATGTGACACGATTTGTGCAGAAAAAAAAGAAAAGATAATATGAATGGTATCCTTTTCTGGAGGCTTCGAATGGCATCGCCAATGCTAATGCATCACAGTGGTCCATTTTGTATTGTGCAAAGTTATCTAATTGATGGGAAAGCAGCGTACAGCATTCCATTCAATGCTAGCCGAGCTACAGTTTAAAATAAAGTCCAAAACGTGTATAAATAAGCCTTTACACACAAGTAGACAAATGAATAAAAATAGTGTGCCAGCTACGTTTAGACGTTATAGATTTTACTTCCTGGTTCGTAATTATTTTGTAAACATCGATTTTGGCGAAGTGCAGTGGCTAATACACGTGCAAAGAAGCACATTTATTTTAAAATATATATATAAAAGGTTAACGTTCCTCTGCTTGTAAATTCACAGCGCTGTTAGTGCGAGACATTTTAAATAATTACGCGGGGCCTAGTTAAGTTGGCTAATGCGCGCGGAGATAAACGTGGTGTCGAGGTCAACACGGTATTGTGTGAATACCCATAATGCCTTGCAAGTTTCTGCATGAGCACGTGCACAGGCGGAGCAGCCAGACCAAGTTGATGGGAGGATTTAATAAGGCAGTGTTTAGTTATGAAAAACGGCGCGTGACAATCTTAACACGCCTTAAGCCATCGGTTAAAAAACGCCTCCTCAATAATTATCCCGTTCCACGTTACCATTTTTATTAGATAGGGGAATTTAGCACCGCGACGACATTTACGCAAACCAGTTTGCAGCGATTTCCAGCTCATTAAGAGCGCATGTCCGGTTTATAACGCAATTACACTCCACAGTCACGCTCTTCTCTTTACATGCGAAATAGAAATTAAAGAGTAAAAAAACACAACACAGGCACAGCAAGGCAAAGCAAAAAGGGGCAAAGCAGAGATAAAAATAGAATGAACTTAAAAGCATTTTGGCGCAAACACATTTTAAAAATAAGATTGCGCTAAAGCTGGGTTTTGTTGTTGTTGTTTTATACTGTATTCGTGGTTAGCGGGAGGGTAATCGCGAGATTAGCGTCGGGGTGGTATTAGTAGTAGGGTCATGCGCTAACCTGCTTGTTCTTCCGAAGAATCCGATTTGCTGTTTACACTCACGGACGAGCCCTGACCAGCCGTCATCTTAGTGGTGGTGCCTGCACGGACATCAGAGGGTTAAAAGTAAAATTAAGTAAGGTGACGAGTACTCGAAGTAATTATCGCAACTGTAGTGGTCGTAAGTAGTAGTAGTAGTGGCGGCGGCGGCGGTGGTGGTGGTGATGATCGACAGCAAAGTCGTCGAACATTTAAATCGTCCAGATTCAGCGTCGCGAGGAGGTGGCCGAGGCTTCGCCGACCGGTGATTTGCCGCGTCGCCGTTAGGGACCATGATGCCGACGCGCCTTCATAAACGGAGACGACATCGAATTTTCTTCAAGACAAGAAACTAAAACTTTTAGTTTTTTTTTTATTTGCCAGGTGAGGCCCACTGAGCTATTTGGTTCTAGATTTGAAGCTTTCGTGACTGCAAGGATTCATATTCTTAGGTTTTTTCGGTAAAGTCACGTAGGTAAAAAAATTTAATTAATAAGCTATCGTGCTGTGACGGTTCCACCTGAAGACGGAGGCTTGTGTTGCCTCCGAAACGTCGTGACTTTTATTTTATTTTACTTTTACTAATTCTAATTTAAAAATTACCTACGTGACTTTACCGAAAAAACCTAAGAATATGAACTATTTGGCTTTGTTTTTCAGAAGCCACCTGGCCGCAAATGATAGGTCATAGAAAGTGGCTCATCATGTGAACATTTATAGTAGCAGCCAAATATTCAAAACGCATGATGTTGATTCTAAATGTGGGGGGAAAGAGAGAGACACGCAAACTCCAAATATACAGGCGCCAGGGTCGGGATCGATCCCACGAGCCCTCAACCTCCTACATACTAGGCGAGGTAGTTAACATCTTTCGCCATGGCCCGGGGTATCTGCCCCGGTGCTTTGACGAGCACGCACGGGGCGATGCTCGCCTCCCACTGGTAGGGGGCCGTGAAAATTCCACATTCCTAGGGCAAAGGCGTGCATGTAAAAATCGACGCCTGTAAAGGAACACGAGAGGCTGGGGGGGGGGGTGGGTTCAGTCGACCCCTGGCCAGGGTTCGAAATGACAGGTCTGTCCAGGTGTGCAGCCGAGTGCTCGAAGCACAGCGCCACCCTGTCGCATACAGCCCACGCCGTGCGCTACAATGTGTTCACGGCTGATCCGTGTCTCTCTCTGCCCATGCCCGATCAGCTGACATGAAGTTACGTGAGGCTCGCTCATTGTTAACGCATTGCCAACGACAATGCCGGTGAGCTCAAAAGCATTGCAGCGGGCTGCACGAACAATGCCAGGCGTGGCTGTGATATCGACAGCTCGATTATATTTCACAAAGGTACTGGACGCACTGTTGTTGTTGATGTTGTTAGAAGTCGAATTTGTGTTTTTTGGTGACGATGCCAGTTTGGTTCGGCAGTTGCAAACGAAAGGCAGAGGCTGCTGTCGAGTAACGCTGACACAAAATAAACACGTGACTAAAATAATGATGATGGCAACAACAATGACAATAATAATGATACAGCAATAAGAAAAAAAAGTAACAAAATGCTCACAAAGCTGATATATTTGGGAAATTTGAGTAAATGCTAAATAGATTGTATTACTAATAGCGAGTTGGCAGTACACGGTATTATGTTTTTTTTAAAACAAAACTCTCAAACATGGAATACTCATGTTGGCGGTGCATACAAATGTGCGGCAAACTCTATACATTTCGATTTAGAGCTTTAGTGACTTTAGGGATTCATATTCTTGGTTCTTTCGGTAAAGTCACGTAGAAGGGAAATAATAAAATAATAAAACAAAAAATAATAAAGTTAAATATGTTTTTTTTTTATTTCCCTTCTACGTAACTTTACCGAAGTCCTCACTTTCGTGAGGACTTGAAAAATGCACCACCAGCCACTGTCAAGTCTGTCTTCAATGTCATAATGACACGGGCATTGTCGCGCGCGACTCAATTCATTTGCACCACGTGGGCAAAGCGAGCGCGGTTTGTGGATATCGCACGTAACGATTTAACAGGCGGCAACCCCGTGGCCGAGAGAAACCCAACGCGTTCGTCAGGAGCACGTCAGGGTGACGTTTCGGGCCATGGACCTTCTTCTTCGAGATTTCTCGGCCATGGAGAAAAGCCATTTGCCAATTATACACTTTTTTTTTTCTTTGCAGAGTGCAGTGCTATTGACGAACGTGCCGTGCGTTTTGTTGCTGGCGCTCGGTGCGCCACTGCCAACGACTCAACGGCAATGCTTCCGCTTTTTTCTTCTTGGTTCTTTCGGTAAAGTCACGTAGAAGGAAAATAATAAAATAATAAAAATAAAACTTAATAAAATTATTCTCACGACGTTTCGGCCACAACGCAAGCAGCCGTCTTCAGGTGGAGAACAGGTCTGTCGAGAAGGCAGAGTCTTATTATTTTCCTTCTACGTGACTTTACCGAAAGAACCAAGAAGATGAATCCCTGCAGTCACGAAAGCTTTAAATCGAAATGCTTCCGCCGTTTAAGGACGTGTTAAAATCCAGCGTGCGCATGCGCGCCTGGTTATACACGCCGCACGTGTTGACAATGTACCTCCGTAATTGCAGCACAACGATGCGCACAATGCCCGGTAAATAATGCATACCTGTCTGTGATCAACAGACCGGCATATTTTCTCCAAATCACTCGGAAATCAAAAAAAATGTGCCCATCCCGAAGGCTACGTGCGTGCATGTCCTTGGGGGGGGAATGCAGTGTGAAGATGAGAAAACACAAACAGCTACCCGCCCAGCCTCAAGAGCTACCACTTAGGGAGTGACTGACTCATGCACGGAAGTTTGTTTTGAAGGTATGAAGGGACAGACTAATGAGTGAACGAGCAAGGCAGAGGGCCCACTTCTCCTCCTCTCGACACGAATGGAATTGGGTGGAGTGGGACGTATTCCAAAATACAGTAAAGGCCACTAATGATAAATATATGCGGGTTACAAAAAAAAAAGAATGTCTAATCGTCTCCACGCTCGATCATGGTCGGGGGATGGATTGTCTTCTCCTCTGTGGCCTTGAACCAATAGTGTACATTCTACATTCTCATGACGGGAGCAAGTCGACCCCATAGCATAGCCACAGGCGACTCCCCCCACAAAGTGGTACTAATTTTATCGACCACGAACTGCGAGCTTTGCCCTCTCACCTACGGGCCACAACTACTGCATGAAAACCAAACAGTTGATGCCGATGATTGCGTAGGAAAGCCTCATTGAGTCTCGAGATGTGATTTTAGGAGAATGCCCCATTAGAATGTTTGACCACTTCCCTACATTAACAAGTCAAAGTGATTTCCTGGCTCAAATGAGCATTGAGGCATTGGCGCTTATCTCGTGTTAACAGTCCTGCAGAGCCAGTGGTAGAAACTCCACATCGCTATGGCAGGGGCAAGCCTATTCTACAGGACAACCACTGTTTACTTTCCTACAAGATGGTACCCACTTTATCGACCCCTGGGGGACAATTGATGAGCTGAGTCAACCGCCCCTCAACCAGCGTGTGAACTCGAAAACCTTCAGAGCCGCTCGCTCAATCAACCGTGAGCCACGGGGCCGGATAATTTCTGAACAAATTCGATCTGATGGCCACGCTTATAAGTAGCGATTGGGGTTACTTGTGCCATAGCCAGGTAGATTTGTAGGACTTCTTAAAGAGGAATAAACAACACACTGGATAATGGAGACAATTTGACGATCCAATGCTCTCCCAATGGGGCTCACACGATTGCCAAAATTTGGTTATTTTCTACAAAGGCAACAGCTTCAAACGCGCACACGCGATGACTTGCAGAAAGGCACAATAAATTTGGCCAAAAAAAACATTCTAAATATGGCAATGAAAAAATATGTTTCGTCCTTCCTGTCGCCAATGCGCAAATTAGGAAGCATGTCCTGACGGCGTGCATCACCGGACACTTAATTGAGAACGGAGCCGTGTATTTATCTCTGAGGGCGCAACACAAATGTCAGAGAGAGAACTGCTTTGTAACGGTCATCATTATCATCAGCGCGTGACCCCAAGGCAAGAAGGCAGCGCAGTCAAACGTTTACCCGCCTCCGTGTTTTAACTAACGGCACACGCTCGCCTTCCAGAAGCCAACGGCGCGTGGGAAACAAAGCGACCGATAACCGTGCGTCCTCTTGATGTGCAAATTCCTTTGTCAAGGCGCTCTTCCCCCTCCAACCCAGCTTAAATATACGCTGCCGACAGACCTGTTCTTCACCTGAGGACGGCTGCTTGTGTTGTGGCCGAAACGTCGTGAGAATTATTTTATTATGTTTTTATTTGTATTACTTTATTATTTCCATTCTACGTGACTTTACCGAAAGAACCAAGAAGATGAACCGTGCGTCGTTTGCCCTGGGTTCAGGGTGCTGATGAGACCGTTAATTGATGAGCGTTTGTTTTGTGTTGTTGGGACTTCATATTCTTAGGTTTTTTCGGTAAAGTCATGTAGGTAAAACATCAAAATTAATAAAAAATAAAATAAAATAAAGATCACGACGTTTCGGAGGCAACACAAGTCTCCGTCATCAGGTGGGACCATCACAGCCAGATTAGCTGCATCAAGTGAGCTAATCTGGCTGTGACGGTCCCACCTGATGACGGAGACTTGTGTTGCCTCCGAAACGTCGTGATCTTTATTTTATTTTATTTTTTATAAATTTTGATGTTTTACCTACGTGACTTTACCGAAAAAACCTAAGAATATGAATCCTTGCAGTCACGAAAGCTTCAAATCTAGAATTGTTGGGACTTTTGAATGAAACAACGAGACTGGAGAATTCCCTGCGTTGCCTAAAGCGCAAATCACCGACAACGTCGTCGCAACTCATCGGAGGTTGGATGTTAAAAGCAGGGATGTTACCTTGTTATTTTTACTTGGATGGGTGACTAATTGGGAATGCCAGGTGTTATAGGCTCGGGTGTGCGAGGTGGCCATTTGATAACGGTACGACGATGGATCCTTGAATCTATCTCTGCGGACCTTTTGGTGTTACTTCCTCGTATGTGTGAATTCTCTGCAGGCACTTGGGTTTCTTCCTGAGTGCCAAACACTCTATCAAACTATTAAAACTATTTAACAATTTTTATTCCACCGGGTAAGGCCCACTGAGCAATATAACTCTTTTTTAGAAGCAACCTGCCCACAAATGATAACTCAATGAAGCGGCTTATCACGTGGAAATTTATAGCAGCCGAATACTCTAAGCGCATGTGGATTCTAAATGTGGAGGGGAAAAACCGAAAGGACCCACACCACCTCGGGGAGAGAGAGACACGCAGGGTCGGGATCGAACCCACGACTTCCTGTATACCAGGCGAGGTAGTTAACATCTCGCCACCACTGTGCCTCCATTCCACTCCACCCATCATCATCATCATCCCTCCAGGTGAAATTAGATGATAACCACTTTGTGGGGAAGCCAATTGTCATCACCCTACCGAGAGACGGCTGGGACCCGCTTTAGCGATCTGCCAACAGGACACAACAGAGATGTGTGTTGCCCCATCGCTTTTGTAAGAGGCGGGAAAATTTCACTCTCACCGTAATTATTCACAGAGACGGCTCAATAATGTCACGTGCTTCACAGCCGTGGGGGAAGGTGGGGGCGGGGGGGAAGGTTTGGGGCTTGCTATGAATTGCCCGAGCCGAACCTGAGACCTATTCGGGGATTCTTGCGGATTCTTGTGGATCCTGCGCAAATTTTCACGACTACGAGCAGCCACAAAGCGGGGGGCCATTCGACCCATCGCGAATTCCGAGGGCGGCGGGAGAAACTCAACGCCGCTGGCCGTGGTTGCACAGGGCTGCTGCCTTGTTGAACGCCCGAGCCGTCGCTCGCATTGTTAACACGCCCCCCCCCCCCCCGCCCGCCATCTCCCGTAATGTCTGAAAGATATGGAGGAGACCTTTTTTTAACAATTGCAATGCGTGACATCCACTCGGTGCGGCTAAGACAAATGTAAATGCGGGCAGTCGATGCCAATTTACTCCCGGTGTAACCAGCCCGCGGGCTTGAACCGGAGACCCATGGACAGGGAGGCAGTGACCTATTCCAACGGGAGCGGGGGGGGGGGTATTCAAGATACGACTGCGGGACCCCCTCCTCCTTCCTCCCGACTCACTTTTGCTGAAACAGCTACGGATTCATCTTCTTGGTTCTGTCGGTAAAGTCACGTAGAAGGGAAATAATAAAATAATAAAAATAAAACACAATTAAATATAATTCTCACGACGTTTCGGCCACAACGCAAGCAGCCATGCTCAGTTGAAGAAACAGAGATGTCGGAAAGACAGCGTCCTAAACATTTTATTATTTCCCTTCTACGTGACTTTACCGAAAGAACCAAGAATATGAATCCCTGCAGTCACGAAAGCTTTAAAAAAGCTCCGGATGGTTTTAAATCCGTATGCAATAATACGTAGGCTATGATTGTATATATTATTGTAGTTAAACTGTGTATTGGGTAAATTGAAACTTGACAAATTTGCATTCAATTAATTCGAATTTGCCATTTATTTACCAACGAAAGCATCGCCGACTCTCGACACCCATTTTTGGGATGATTTGACGAATTCCATTTTCGAAAGGAAGGTTGCATATTCGATCGTGGGTTTGGGACTAGACTGAGCTCATTATCCCTCGAGGGTGATATAAAATAAATACTACGCGATTGGAATTCAAGAGTACAATCGGGACAGTGAGTTGATCTCGTCAATGATCGACTCAAATATTGTAATCGACTACTTTCCAAATTGTCAGCCGACACAACATCCTGCCTCCCCTGAAGGAGGGAAACCCCTTTGAAAGCCACGCCCAGTGTGACATCACCAAACGCCGCCCATCACCTCCTGTCCAGCGGCGCACGTGGCAACAGAGGCGACACCACCCCCCCCCCCCACCAACTGTTTTCGTGTTATCCAATTAGTCGACGTGCTAAAACCGGTCAACAAAAAAAAAAGCATTTTTTTCTGGCCTGGACTTTTGCAGCTGTTTTAGACTAATTTCAGGGTGCTGATTCCAAATCTGATCTCAGATTCGCTCTATCACATCTCATTTTTATGCTATCGGCATACTCCATTTTCATTGATTTTACCCGAAATTAACTCTGTCACTTATGATTGCAAGTTGTTGAGAGTCAGTGACTGCTTTAGTGTTAAAATATGGTGCTGTATTTTTAGGATAGTGTGTTTATAATATAATTTTATGTAGATATCCACATTTATTTAATATTCTTCTTCTGCAGTTTTTATTGAATCTCAAAAACCTGATGTGATAGACAAAAACTGATGCCAGATTTGGAATTAGCACCCCAAAATTACATGAAAACCGTTGGAATACCTTATGCCAGAAAACGTGTGTTGACCAGTGTTATCGGATAGCCCAGTTCTCAAGGGTGGTTACCGTGCATGAAAAAAGCCGCTACCATAGGAACGTGGAATTTCCAGCACTGGCTCAGGGCTGCTCGAATGCTGCTGGAAGCCTGTGAAAGAGAGCTGCTTTATAGCTCATAGGATTCCTCAGGCATGAATAAATAAGAAAGCATCGGTGTGTCCCAAGAGTATATATTTTTTTTTGACGGTCCTACTTTGGGATGTTTGACCAATTCCTGAACGGAGTATTTCGTGTGTTACAGGAAGAGTGCCTGGAGAAAGCCAGTAGATAAGAGTGGATAAACACTCCCCGTACACGCACGCTGTCTGTGTATTCTCCTAACAGTGGTGCACGGGCAGATAATGAAGAAATTAATCATTCTTTGAATACGCATCGCTCAATTAATTACCACGTAATATTCTTTATCCAGAGAATTTAATTACGGTCACTTGAGCGACAGTAATTGCGTAGGAATGCCACACCCCGCCATAAATTTTGTTAGTAAATAAGCTCCCCCTGCAAAGCTGACTCCTTGGCCTAATTAGTGCTAGTGACAGCGCATTCACAAATTATCTCAAAATGACGGAATGAAAATGGTCGTTATTGACACGATTAGGTGCTCTGAAGTGTCAGTCGGCTGGAATTTTAAAGACATCCGAGACAATGTTTTTGTTTGTTTAAATAACTGTCGATACGTCTGCCCCAGGGGGGGGGGTGGTGGCTAAGCAAGGTCATGGGCATGCAAAGAAAGCGCACAGGTGGAGGGCATTTTAATGAGCAAATTTAACTGTGTCCAAGACACCAAAAGGATCCGGGAGTGGCACAGCTGCTGCCTTAGACCCTTAATTCCATTATTAAATAGCCAATTATCTCGCCCGAGTTTGGCACGGAGACAAACTAATGGTGGGAGCGATAATAATTATCACATCAATGATAATAAACAGGCTGATTAAATTAAAGGGGGTAAATAATTGCCGTCGTTACCGTGCTCACGCTAACGTCATTTTAATGCCATTATTTGGTAATAATTCATACGGGGGGGGGGGGGGGGGGCGCTGTCAGCCGGTGCTAATTGAGCCGGAAAAGCAGTTTGGAGAGGGACTCACTATAATTAGCTCACCGGCGAGTAAGCTGCGCACGATGAACCCGCCCCGACTTCAGATCAATATTAGGCTAACATCGGTGGCGACTGATATCTGAACCGGCCCTGAGCCCTCTCCCCTCCTTTCAGCAAACCACGCTGGGCCGCCCTGGTGAAGTATGCGCTCAAACAACCCATACGAGCGACAAGGTGCGGTGAGGCCTTTATCCAGCAGTGGATAGAAGGACGTTGCGGATGACGACGATTATGATGATGCTGGCGCTGGTGGTTGCGCTAACAGTTGGCACGATAGGAGGCACAGCTGGTGCATCTGCCAGTCGTCTCAGTCAGTCAGTCCACGGCACCTGGGTCTGTCCCGTGACATTCCTGTCATCGAGCCTTCGACACTTCACTTGGCCTCAAAGTGCACCCGGCCTGGCACAGACGCCGGCCGTGGTGACGTCGCTTCGTTGGCGAATGGTGGGTATTGGTATTGTGGTCGCAGTGGTGATTCGCGTCTGTGGTGTATTGGCCCATACGGACGAGTCGAAGAAACGCGTATGTTGTTTCCTCGACTTGACCACATCAGTCATTCAAGCTCGAGGTCAACATGTCATCGCAGAAAACTCTGCTCGTGCCAAATTCCTGACTCGGTAAATTGCCCTCCGCCACCTTGGACACGTGTCCCACCCATCGCGTGCTGCCTCTGCACGACTACGCCTCCGATTATTTTCTTGCCATGTCCTATTCCGAACCGCCAAGTTGCTTGCCTCCCCCTATCCTTGCAGTCCAATCGCAAACATCCCTCCGCAAAGCGTCTGAATTACAAAATCCGTGGTAGTAATGTGATTTCACGATACAATGAGGGCCATCTATCGAGGGATTACAAGTGTCTGCCTTTGGTAATATATTTACAGTCGCACGCTATACTACGAACACCAACCCTATGCCGTCATATCACTGATAATGATGCTGATGACAGTGGTGATTGTAAATGTCCGTACATTAATGCATACTTTCCAAACCTGCTGGTTCAAGTGATGAGACTGCCAATTTTTAAAACCATTTTACCACAGGCCCATTTTTTGAAAGGGAAAATTGCGCCCACATTTTTCACCCCCTCAATTTTTATGAAGCAGAATGATTAGCTTTGAAAATCCGTGCCACACTTAAAGGTTTCAGAATATCGGCAGCTTACCGCTTGAATCAGGAGGGTTGGCTAGTATGTTAATGCCTAAAAAAATACGTGAATGGCGGACATGGATTTCAGTAATCTAAAAATGAAAAGCTAAAATTTCCCAGAACCCACCGTTCATTGTACGAATGCAATAACTTTATCAATAACCCACCGTTTGATCTAGGATTGCAATGACTTTATCAGTCCACCCTTTGATGTACGATTGCAATAACCTTATCAGTAACCTGCAGTTCGACTTAAAAATGCAACAACCCCATCAGTAACCCAACGTTCAACATATGAATGCAATAACTTTATCAGTAACCCGCTGTTCGATGTGCAAATGCAATAACTTTATCGACAACTTACTGGGTGTGCAGCAGCTGGACGAGCAGCAATTGGCTGAGCAGCACACGGTGACCTTTAACCTCAGGCACTTCTTGCCACTGCTGTGACGTGGTGTCGCTGTGGGGCAGAGCGGGCAAAGTCAATTAGGACACAACGATAATAAATAATAAACACCCAGATGCTACCGCGTTTCAAACACCATTAGCACATGCGTTGTGAGAAACAAATACAAAAGGACACATCGCCCTGTGAAAGCAGAACAGTCAGGAGCCATGGTTACCAGCTTAGTATCGTGCCGAGTTGGGTTCAGCTCATTATTCCGCAAATTAACAGCTAATTTTCAATTTGCTCACTGCCGAGCATTTGCCAACCTTGGAAGAAATGTCACTGTTAGTCGCGCCGTAATGTCGAACGCGTCGCTGGGGTAGGCACAACGCGTTGCACGGGCGGCGAGTGACATCCGCAAAAGGTCCGGTCAGCAGCATGGATGGCTCCGTACGGTGCGAAAGACGTTCAACAAACATCACAAACAACTCTCGTGCTCCCCCGAACCGTCCCAAGCGGTGATGTTTACTACACACCGGCACCAGGTACTCATTTGAGGCTGAGTCGACCTTGGGGAGGCCCAAGACTGGTTCAGATAATGGTCACCGGTTTTAGACGTGAGAGGCACACTGCACACACGTGCAAACACGCGCACACACGTGCACACACGCGCACACACTGCATACACGTGCACTCACGTGCACACACGCGCATACACGCGCACAGAGCAATGTCAAAGAATCTCTCCGCTCAAACGAGTCTTGGTGTCGCTCGCCTCTGTTGGAGGCTCCGAGGTGCCAAGGTAAATTCCACATTCCCATGGCAGGGAACAGTCGACTACAGTCATAAAGTACAGCCTTGACTGACTTCCCACCTTCAAGATCCTCAATGGACTTACCCTCACCTACCTCGCCCCACTCATCTCACTCTACCTCCCCTCCACGCACTCTCCAACCCCTCCCCTCTTATATCACTCTACTCCCCTCCACGCACTCTCCTACCTCTCCCCTCTCATCTCACTCCACTCCCCTCCACGCACTCTCCTACCCCTCCCCTCTCATCTCACTCCACTCCCCTCCACGCACTCTCCTACCTCTCCCCTCTCATCTCACTCTACTCCCCTCCATGCACTCTCCTACCCCTCCCCTCTCATCTCACTCTATTCCCCTCCACGCACTCTCCTACCCCTCCCCTCTCATCTCACTCTACTCCCCTCTACGCACTCTCCAACCCCTCCCCTCTCATATCACTCTACTCCCCTCCACGCACTCTCCTACCTCTCCCCTCTCATCTCACTCCACTCCCCTCCACGCACTCTACTACCCCTCCCCTCTCATCTCACTCCACTCCCCTCCACGCACTATCCTACCTCTCCCCTCTCATCTCACTCTACTCCCCTCCATGCACTCTCCTACCCCTCCCCTCTCATCTCACTCTACTCCCCTCCACGCACTCTCCTACCCCTCCCCTCTCATCTCACTCTACTCCCCTCTACGCACTCTCCAACCCCTCCCCTCTCATATCACTCTACTCCCCTCCACGCACTCTCCTACCTCTCCCCTCTCATCTCACTCTACTCCCCTCCATGCACTCACCTACCTCTCCCTTCTCATCTCACTCTACTCCCCTCCACGCACTCTCCTACCTCCCCCCACTCATCTCACTCTACTCCCCTCCACGCACTCTCCTACCTCCCCCCACTCATCTCACTCTACTCCCCTCCACTCACTCTCCTGCCTCTTCCCTCTCATCTCACTCTACTCCCCTCCACGCACTCTCCCAGCTCTCCCTTCTCATCTCACTATACTCCCCTCCACGCACTCTCCTACCTCTCCCCTCTCATCTCACTCTACTCCCCTTCACAACACTATCCAAACCTCTCCACTCTCATCGCACTCTACTCCCAGTCAACCATTCCTCACTGAGAGAGAGGGAGGTTATTCGTACTTCTCTGTTGACCTCCCTTCCCCCAGCCACCCGTGTTGTCAGCTCCCTGCCCCTGTTTACGAGCGGGCTCAAGGTGAGAGGTTAACTACCTCGCCTGGTATGCAGAAGGTCGTGGGTTCGATCCTGACCCTGACGCCTGCTGCATATTTGAAGTTGGCATGTCTCTCTCTCTCGTCGCGGTCACGTGGATTTTTTTTCTCCGGGTCCTCCGGTTTTTCCCTCCACATTTAGAATGGACATCGCACGTTTAAAGAGAATTTGGCCGCTGTGAATGTCCACGTGAAAAGCCACTTGGTTGAGCTGTCATTTGTGGCCAGGTCACTTCTGAAAAAGAGCTACACAGCTCAGTGGGGCCTTACCTGGTGACAATAAAAAATAGTTTAATTTTAGTTTTTACTCCCCTGTCGATGACCGAATGCCCTTCACATCTCCCTATAACATAAATATACATACACATTCTCCTGTTTGTGCACAGCATGTCGAAAGGTGGTCGCATTTAGACGCTGTATGAACCCAAATTGAATTCTATCGAAGTGTGAACCACCGAGGCCTAGCTCGTGGGAGGTGTAATAGAACTCTGCTGAATGTACTGTCCAAAAGTCAACGGTTAAAAAAAACACATACACACAAAATGCCCCCGTTTGTATGGATCGGACCGTAAGTTAAATGAGCTGCTGGCTAATTAATGGTGGATGAGACCAGTGCCAGATTAAGCTCGTGTGGGACCTGTAGCATATGTTAACATGTTCCTTCGGAGTGGGCAGGTAGGAACTTGGTTGGACAGCGCATTCATGCGATCCGTGTCACGCGGCGCAAACTGCATGGGGCGGCGCGGGTCAGGATCGAACCTACGACCTCCTGCATACCAAGCGAGGTGGTTAACATCTCGGCCCCTCCCCCCCCCCCCACTCTTCGTCATATCCGAGGGCAACAATCCTATCTCAGGTGCACAGGCAATACCGATGAAGGGAAACATTAACCGAATAGCTCGCATAGCCAAAAGAGAGCCACCTTAAAAATTATCTCAGTCTCCGTGACACTTTCTTTTCTGAACAGATAAATTGTCATCGCTACGCTCGCCCCGTGTCTACGACAACGGGCGGCCCAACGGAGGACGAACGGATTTCGGACGGAGCGACGGGAACGGGAGGGTAAGGTTTCCGCAAATCAATAACGAGGGGGCCTGTCGAGTTGACGCGGTGACAACCACGGAAGCCACGGGAAGCCCTCCGGCCGATGAATCCCCCCGCCGTTTTCGCGCCGTGCCCGGGCGAGGGTTTTCGACGTCTCGTTCCGTTTCCCGACAAACAGCAGGCAACGGCTGCGCCGTCCACGCACTCGGTGCTGAAGGGTTAATGTGTTTAATGTAATTACATTTTCCAATGGCTGGCACCAGTAATCTAATTTTACCTCGTTCCCCGGAGTAAAAAAAAAACACACTGAAGACGGAAAGAGGTGTGGCGAGCGGGCTCAGGACCGGTTCAGGTGTCATCCGTTTCGCTGACGTTTTCAGTGGCGCGGGACGCAAACTCAGGCCTCACGGGTTCACAGGGGATGACAGTACACGAACCACCCCTCGTCCTGTCATTTCTATCGGCTTCACTCAAAGTGAGGCGGTGTTCCCGCACGAAACGTAAACAGAGGTTCACCTCCACGTCAATCATCCGGATGATTAGACCGGATTCATCCAGGCTAAATAAAGATTCTGATTCTGAATACTCAAATACTGGCGAAAGAGGTCCCGTAGATAGAAATGTTCAAGCCGAGCTATTGACACTTCGATACTTGCTGGCCTTTGCATTGTGGCATTTCCTGGCCTGACACTCGTGAGACAAGGCCATAAAGGCGGCTGTCTCTGGTGGAGGCCAATCAGTTTCGAAGTCAAAACGTTTATTATTATCAGAGCATGTTTGTTTGCATGTTCATCACAAGTACGCGTGGTTAATGCAGACTTGATGCCTTGCAAAAGGTATCTTTTTGGTGTTCAAACATCTTAACACCGCCTGTTTTATCGCCAGAAATGGTAAAAAAAAAAAGCCTATTCTTATTTTTTTCATAACGTTGACACTGACGAAAAGGTCCCATAGACACATTCACAACACGGACATCGTCAGGGCTGTGACCATCGACCGGCTGCAACCCAAGAATGCGGTGCAATGTACAATCACAGGGCGGCTGAAACCCGGATGTGAACCCAGGGTCTCCACAGTGCTGGCTCGGTTGCTCCGGCACGGCCAATTTTGATCCCCCTGAGACGGACACGCGGCCAACTCGCCCCCCCGTCCCCCCGTCCCCTCTTCATCCCTCAAGTCCATTTTCTTCGCCGGTCACCGTTCCGGGCGTTGCGCGAGTGGATGGCTGCATTGACTCCCGCCATAAATAAATGCGTGCATGTTGAACTCTTTACGCGCCGTAACGTAGCCAACCGTACTAATCATGCGCAGATGTAATGTGGCCCAGCGCAATTCATCTTACAAACTATAAACACTATTTATTGTTACCAAGCAAGGCCCACTGAGCTATATGGCCCTTTTTTTCAGTAGCGACCTGGCCACAAATGGCAAGTGACTTATGGTCACGTGGAAATTTATTCCAAATACTGTACTCCGAACGTATGTTTATAAAGGTGGAGGCAAAAACGGGAGGACCCGGAAGAAAATCCACGTGACCACGAGGAGAGAGACATGCAAACGCCAAATATACAGGCGTCAACATCGAACCCCCGACCTCCCGCATACCGGGCGAGGTAGTTAACATCTCGCCACCACGGCTCTCCCCTGTGCAGGCAATGGAGAGGACGCACCAGCGCTCCGGAGGGCGTGATCGCCGTGGAGATGGAGCGACGAGATGAGCTCGTTCGCCGGAGCGAGTTGGAATTCTAGATTTGAAGCTTTCGTGACTGCAAGGATTCATGCTCTTAGGTTTTTCGGTAAAGTCACGTAGGTAAAAAAATGAAATTAAAATTAATGAAAATAAAATAATACAAAATCACGACGTTTCGGAGGCAACACAAGTCTCCGTCATCAGGTGGGACCGTCACAGCCAGATTTGCTGTAACACTTGATACAGCAAATCTAAGAGTGCAAGGTGGAATGTTGCGTCGCGGGGAACCGCGGGGGGGGGGG